AAGGCGATTCGCGACAGACGCGAGATGGCGGATGCATTTGCCCATTCCTGCGGTTGTTTGCGCGCCTGCAGCGACGGCGTTGCACCGCTGGGCGCGCGGCGACAAGCCACGGTGAGCAAGCGGGGCAACGCGGGAATCACGCAGTTTGCGATGGGCGATTGAGACGCGGCTATTACGCTTCAAAATGGGGGACTGCGCGCACAGTGGCGGATTCTCCGTGGAGATGCCGCAACAAGTGCACCCTGAACTTGAAGTTTGCGCTGCTGGTTTTTTACGATGGCGCCATCGAGGCAGGGTGTGTCGCGCCATCAGCTTGGAAGCGGACGGGCTTGAGAGTTTAGTTTTGAATTCTGAGGTCTGCACGCGCCAGCAAATTAAAGACTTCACATTCGACCCGCACCCAGTTGGAATTTCAGTTTATTGCCAGCACAAGCTGTTTTCCTGCAGAGCTTCAGTGTCGATGATCATCTGCTGACGTCGGTGATGTTGCAAGAGAAAACACAGGAGTGGCAGCTCCCTGCGTGGGCCGCCACGCTGGACTTCAAAACAGCGTTCGACACAGCGATTCACCCTTTACTGTGGGCAGCTATGTCTTCGCGGGGCCCCCTTGCACTTTAGGCGGCCCTCGCATCGACCGTGCGTCGCGCCCAGACGGCAACCGCGAAACCACATGCGTAATCAAAGCATTCGGTATGGGGCGCCGGACAGAGCAGAGCGACGCGCTCAGTTCTTCTGTTCTCCAGCTGCTCATCTGAAGAGATATTCCTATACTGCCGGGACGACTGGGGAATGGAGAAGCGGACATTAGGGGTGCGATTCTGCGTCGTTGATAAGATTCGTTCGACTAGTTGAATATTCTCCAGCGATGCGACATGGATTGGCAGGTCCTCGAATCAGGCGCGCGGTTGCTAGGACGCCCTCGAAACTTCTAAACGGACAGGCCTTGAATTACATTTACAGGGGACAGATTTGGCACGACATGGACGCCCGACGACCGAAGAGAGGCTGAGAAAACATTAAGGTTGGTGGCTATGACGCTGACATGCTTGCATACAAAAAAAACTAATCGATATTTGGGTTTGTCCTTTCTCCAACCACCCTGTGGTGTTGGGTCCTCGTTTTGAGAAGTCAGCGCCCGGCGCCCCTCCCTCCTCCACCTCCTCCTCCTCCTCCTCCCTCCTCCGCAGTTCGCATGCGTGTCTCGCACCCAGTGCAACGTTTCGTGGTCCCATCGGGAGCTCCACCGAGGGTCCCAGTGGCGCAGTCCGCATGCGTACCCCCCACCCAGTACAGCGCTTCGTGGCCCCACAGGGGGCTCCACCGAAGGTCCCAGTTTCGCAGTCCGCATGCGGTTCCTGCGCCCAGTGCAGCGCTTCGATGCTCCAGCAGAAGCTCCACCGAAGGCTTCGGTGGAGCAGTCCGCATGCGGTCCCCCCGCCCAGTGCAGCCCCTCGAGCCCCCAGAGGGGCTCCACCGATGGTCCAAATGGCGCACTTCTCATGCGGTCCCCCCACCCAGTACAACGCGTCGTGGTCCCTTAGGGAACTCCACCGAGGGTCCCAGTGGCGCAGTTCGCATGCGGTTCCCCCACCGAGTACAACGTTTCGTGGCGCAATCCGCATGCGGTTCCCCCACCCAGTGCAGCGCTTCGTGGCCCCACAGGTGGCTTCACCGAAGGTCCCAGTGGCGCAGTTCGCATGCGGTTATTACGCCCAATGCAGCGCTTCGTGGCCCCACAGGGAGCTCCACCGAAGGTCCCAGTTGCGCAGTCCGCATGCGGTTCCTGCGCCCAGTGCAGCGCTTCGATGCTCCAGCAGAAGCTCCACCGAAGGCTTCGGTGGAGCAGTCCGCATGCGGTCCCCCCGCCCAGTGCAGCCCCTCGAGCCCCCAGAGGGGCTCCACCGATGGTCCAAATGGCGCACTTCTCATGCGGTCCCCCCACCCAGTACAACGCGTCGTGGTCCCTTAGGGAACTCCACCGAGGGTCCCAGTGGCGCAGTTCGCATGCGGTTCCCCCACCGAGTACAACGTTTCGTGGCGCAATCCGCATGCGGTTCCCCCACCCAATGCAGCGCTTCGTGGCCCCACAGGGAGCTCCGCCGAAGGTCCCAGTGGCGCAGATCGCATGCGGTTCTCCCGCCCAGTACAGCGCTTCGTGGCTCAGGTCCCAGTGGCGCAGTCCGCATGCGGTTCCCCCGCCCAGTGCAGCCCTTCGTAGTCCCAGAGGGACTTCCGCCGAAGGTCTCAGACGACGATACCCACACTTGCGGTACTCCCAATTGTGTGTGTGTTTTTTCGCCAGTCTTATTTATTTGTTTCAGCATGCGGATGAAAATTGACATCAACGCGCACGCATATCCAAGCCGCTTGGATGAAGCTATCGTCGGTCGTAACCCACTGTGCGACGGATTCCGTTCATTCGACCGTGGCGCCTTCCATGTTATGAGGATGTGCATCATGGACGATGGTTGCTGCATTAAAGCATGTCATCTCAACGCCGGGAGCTACGCACGATCCTGGGCTTGCCACGGAGACGAACAACCAGCACCAGCGATAACAGCACGACGGACAACGGATTCGGCTTCAAGTGTTTGGTGATTGCATTCGGCGTGCGACACAGCTCCTAGCAAACAAACGTTCACAAGTTTGGCTTTTCAGCATGGGGTGTATATCCAAAAACGCAGGACATGGAATGGGCCCAGGAAGTCCTATGATTACAGCCCGGGCCCATGGCACTGCGAAGCTTGTCATTGGGACCCACAACTTTGTCCATTTGCATGGCGACTTCTTCACGGACTTCGACAACGATGAGGGGCTACGGCCCCGCCGCCCGCTTCCTTGGGAGGCGCCCTCGGCGCGCGCTCCGGGCGGGATTGGCCCTCGCCTCTCCCTTCGGGCCGAAGAACGTACCGACCCTTCCCAGATCACGAATCGGTGCTATACATGTAATCAAGCTGGTCGTTTCGGCGTGGCCCCGCCTCCCTCACCTCCTTCCTTCCCCTGACTTCCCCAGGTTATGTTTGTGTCCTTGACTGACCACTGCACAGTGCAATGGGGAGGGCGACGACGACGAGATAGGAGGAGGAGGAGGAGGAGGAGGAGGAACATAACAAAAAGGAGGAGAAGGAGGCGGAGGAGGAATTTGACCCGCTCGAGCTCGTGTCGGACCCCAAAGGGCATCAGGTCAAGTGCCGTGGCGGGCGCTGGTGCTGTCTGGCCTGTGGCCACAAGTGTAAAATCAGAGCCCGTCTTGTCCAGGAGAGGTGCCCATGGGGTCCCTGCCAAGGTGGCTCAGGCTGACTGGTCTCGCAGGCCGTGGTGGTCGGGGGGTCCCGAGGGTTTGGTGTGGTGTAGTGCTTGTGGGGCATATGCCAGGAAGCAGGTCCTGGCCCGGGCGGAGCCCTGTTTGAAGCACCCTACCGACGGCCGAACCCGAGCCCTAAATGAGCTTGAGCAGGGTAAGGACCCCACCTCCAAGCAGCCCATCCCTCTGGCACGCCCCGGAGCGCCTCCGCTTCACCCTCGCCGTGTTGGCTGGGTCAAGGGTCTCTATGAGGTGATGGCTGAGAGACGGGGACATCTGCTGGGAAGATTCGGATTAGCGGAGTTGTCGTGGTTTGGTGCCCGAGGCACCGCGACCGTCCCCTTCGCTCGGCGCAATCGTGGTGGCATTGTGGATTGCGGTGCTTCTATCGGGGCCACCGTCCGAGGAGCGGAAAGCGGAAAGCGGAAAGAGAGAGCAGGATAACCACGACGACGATGGGGAGAACGAGGAGGGAGGAAAGGGAATGAGAAAGGAATGAGGACGAAAAGGGACGAGAGAGGAGCGAGGAGGAGGAGGACGCGGAGGAGGCACAGGGTATAGGAGGAAGGAAGTGACAGGAGGGAATCCAGCAACCTCACACGATGTGTTGATTCGTCGGTCGTTGGAAGTGGGGTGTTTGGGGATACCCAAATCCCAGTCTATGCGCCTACTCACTTGAAGGTCGAGTGGTGTTCCCTCTTCCGTCCTCTTCAGGGGGCGGGCAGAACCCCTATCGTTTTCCACCGCCTTCCTACTTCATGTTTATACCCACTTCTTCCGACCGGCGGATATGCATCAATAGTTGTCCATCGCAGGTCGTTACGTATCTAGAACACGGTGCACGGTCTGCCGCAGCAGATCCGAACAGGTGCTTGCTTCCCGGGTTCTTTTAAATATTCTTGGGCGTTCCCGAACAGCGTTTGCGCGAACCGTGACGTGACCCCAGGGGGGGGGGGGGACGGCGGGGCCAGTCACTGGCGCAGTCGTGAATCATAAAACCACGGGCTGCAGACACGCCACCAGACATATTCCAAAGGATTTTCCCCTCGTGGTCACACGCACGGTCCATGACGCCCCAAAATACATTCCAGGGGCGGTCGTGGACTCAGCCCGGCCCGAGGCACGTCCCAGGATAGGGCCCCGGGCACGGGCGTTGACGCGACCCCGCAATCCGCAGAAAAAGCCCCGACATGCCCGTGAATACGTCACTGGCGCAGCCTCGTGTCTCCCCCGACACGCTTGCTGAAACGTGCACATGCACGTTTCCTACAATCGTCCGTTGGCACGTCGCCCAGGCGCGTCACCAGGCATATCCCATCACGCCCCCCGAACAACGCTTCTTGACAAGCCCCTAAGCACGTCAAGCGCGCCCCTTGACACGTCACGTGATACGTCCCCTGGCACTTTCCCTTGAGACGTCACCAGACACGTCCCGAGACATGCTCTCAGATACGCCCCCCGACATTTCCCTGAACACACCCCGGACACCCCCTTGAACACATCCTCTGACACGTCCACCAGAACGCTCCCTGGCAGGGCCTCAAGCTTCCAGGCAGACCCGAGACTGGGTCCGTTCACAGGCAGCACTACTCGGAATTCCTACTAGCTTGCCGTCTCATTCCCCGTCTTGTCCTGCTGGTTGAACGATGCCTTTCCGCGCGAGCTCCTAATGTTGCGTTCCCCCCCCCCTCCGCAGGTCTGCGGTGCAGCGCAGCGGATCCGATGGAAGGCTCGATTTCGGGTGCTACGAGGCACCTGCCGACGAG